CGTGGCGCCACTCCGCCGGCTACGCATTCAATCGCAGCTATAATTTTTAGTCAGTTATTCAGTCCTGCGGTATTCTCAGAAGTTTGAAAATATTGAGCCCTTGAGTCCTTCCCGGGGCAGAAAGAACTTCAGAGTTCAAAAAGTGGCAAAACTTATCCATGGTGATAGATTGGCAGGGTGTGGACAGGGAGGGGCTCCAAGAGACGCTTCTAGGGTGCCCGAAATACGCTATATCTTGGTCTGGGTGGAGATTACTTGGGCATACACGTGTTAAAAATTAATTGAGCTGTACACATAAGACGTGTACTTTATGAAAAGCATTATATCTCCTTTAAAAAACAAAATAGTAAGAAAAAACGCTCAGATTTAGAAAAATAGGCTGGGGTCAGATGATGAATTGTTTGGGCATGTAAGAGAAGGGAATCTATGGCCCAAGGGTGGCTGGAAGCCATGCAATTGAAGATTATAGGTGTCTTAGACCCTCAGCCTAATACCACCAGGAACATAGTCAGACAGTCAAGTTTATTGATCCATTGAGATGATGGAGACCACACAACAGAGAAATCATGGAGTATCTTGACAAAGGAAAAGGTAGAGTTATGATGGGATTTGGAGGAAGAGAGGAGTTTAAGTTTAGACAACTAAATGATAGGCTTAAAGCAAAGTAGGGTCAACATCAAGTGTGGACTGTGAAGGGGACCAGGGTCTTTTATCCTTGAAAACTACAATGAATGTAGATGTGGAGTATTGGGTCCAGAAATCCTTTGCTCTGCACCTGGGTTGAAAATTGAGGCTGCTACTCTGTATCAAATGACTTAGATCCTACAGACAAGAGGGGATGTATCATTTTTATTGATAGAATTTCCAACACTTGATGATTTTAAAGAACAAAATTTCTCTGTAAGTGAGAAAGTATGTCCTTGGGAGAAAGAATGTTTTCTATTAATCTTGAAGCTGGCTTTGTGTATGTTAGTCCAGCCCAATGAATTAGCCCTTCCTCCCTCCCTTCCAGTTACAGAAAAGGAAGAAGGGACTTTTAATGCAGCCATGGACCTCTCAAAAGTACAGCTGTTGAGTAGAGGGGAGAAAATTTTGAGATAATTCTGAAGTTAAAATTGTTTGTAATAATAAAGATGCTATATTAGCATCTGTGAGGCCCACCTTCAAGATGGGCTCCAAAGATTCTCACCTCCAGGTACATATGCCCCTGTGTGTCTTCCCTTCCTACAATGAATAGGGCTGACCAGTGTGATTAACAGGATGCTGTGGAATGAGAGAGTGTAACTTACAAAATTAGACCATAAAAGTCACTACAGCTTCTCCCTGGCTCGCTCCTGGATCACTTGCTTTAGAGAAGGCAGCTGCCATATTGTGAGGACATGCAAACAGTCATGCTCTGGAGAACACACGTGTGGAGGAACCAAGTCCTCCAGCCATCTGAATGAGCCACTTTGGAAGCACAGCCTCCAGCCCCAGTCAAGCCTTCAGATGACAGCTGTCCCCATCAGCATTCTGACTGCAGCTTTATGAGAGATCCTAAGCCAGAACTACCCAGCTAAGCCACTCATGGATTTCCAACCCCCAGAAATTGTGTGAGATAGTAAATGTTTATTGTTGCTTTAAGCTGCTAAATTTGGGGCTAGTCTGTTACACAGCAATAGATAACCAATACATCTAGGATAATTATGGCCTGTTTACAGATGAGGAAACCAAAGCTCAGAGAGGGAGATAGATGTGCCAAAATTGTCTGGTCTTCATGGGTGCTCCTAAGAGTTTGTATGAGGCTCCAGCTTGACCTGTGTCACTTGGATGGAGCTTTCTTACTCAGCCCCACTCATAGGCTCCAGCCTTCTGTCCCTCTCCTCCAGCTCATCCCCAACATGGACCTAGAAAGGTCTTTTCATATCCAGAGCTGACCCTGGCCCTCCCCTACTCACAGCTCTCCTATGGTAATTATAAATTTCTCTTGCACATTACTTTAAGACAATGAATCTAGTAGAATTTGTTATTTATTGTACATCCAAAGGGAAAAGGGAGAAAATGATATAATAAGACTCTTCTAATAAAGGAAAATATAATGTATGGATATTTTAAAGTTACAGATGTATATTACAAGATGGAAATTATAGGTGGGACCTGTGTGTGGCTTACTTGGGTCCTCTGCTTTGCATTCTTCCACAAGGCTATTAAAAAAAAAATGTGTTGACTGGGGTTCTGGTCTCATCCAGTGACTCACCTGGGGAAGGATCTATTTCCAAGCCCATGGTTGTTGTATATACATGGTTTGGGGGAAGATTCAGTTCCTTGAGAGATCCTGGACTAAGGGCCTCTGTTCCTTGCTGGATGTTGGCTTCAGGCTACTCTCCTTTCTTTACCTTGGGACCTCTTCATAGCATAGCTCACAACATGACAGGTAGCTTCATCAAAGTGAGCAAGCAAGACTAAAGTCATAGCCTATTATAACCTAGCCTTGAAAGGGACATCCCATCCCCTTTGCCATGAAAGGCAGGTCACTAAATCCAGCACACTCACAGGACACAAGGACATGAATACCAGGAGGTGGAGGTCTTTGAGAGCCATTTTAGAAACCATTTACATGCCAGGAAAGGAAGAATTCTTCGTACACCAAGGAAGGTCAGCAAAAGAAAGGGATAACATATCATAAATGCTAAGTTATTCAGGAGCAGAGGGCCCTGGTGGCTGATTTAGAAAAGTTTCTGGAATGAAAAATGGGTAGGATTTCTCCTTAGATTTATTAAAAATGACTCCATCTCTCACATTGTAAAAGTTATACCAGATGTTCTGTTTTGCTATTGCTGTGTGACAAATCAGCCCCAAGATTAGTGGCTTAAAACAACAATTGTTTTATTATCTTTGATAGGCCTGTGGTTAATGAAATAGGGAAAGGCTCTCTGGGCAGTTCTAGCCTGGAGTCACTCCGTGTTTGCCGTCAGACAGTGCCTGGAGCTGGAAGAGCAGAGAGGCTGAAGGGTGTCAGGACCTGATGGAGCTGTCTCTATTTTCATGGTGCCTCAAGGCTTTCCGTGTGGTTTCTTTGTGTAGGATAGTTTGAGCTTCTTTACAGCTTGGTGGCTTCAGGGAAGTTGAATTCCTTGCCTGATAGCTGAAGTTTTGGAATATTTCAGCTAAGAAAGAAGAAATTGCATTGCCTTTCCTGATCTGATCTCAGAAGTCAAGCAGCGTCACTTCTGCTGTGTTGCAACAGCCACACGTGAGTCATGAGCCCATTCAACTTCAGGGGAAGGGGAAGGAGACTCTGCTTTTTAATGGGGGAAGCAAGGGGATAGAAGATATCTTTGGAAAATATAAGGTAGCACACTAATTCAGTTGCTTTAGCAAAGACTAATGTAACAGTGGCTTAAATAACATAGAAGTTTATTTCCCTCTCATGTAACAGTCCAAGAACAAGCAATCCTAAGTGATATTATCAGTGAGTAAAGTTCCACAGTATCAGGGACTATGATGGTTAATTTTATGTAGCAACTTGACCGGACCACAAGGTGCCCAGATATTTGGTCTAACATTATTCTGGGTGTTTCTGTGAGGGTGTTTTTGCATGAGATCAATATTAAATTGGCAGATTTAGTAAAGCAGATTGCTCAGAAGGCCTGAACAGAACAAAAAGTCTCTGAATAAGAAGAAATTCTTTATGCCTGACTACCTTAGAACTAGGATATCAGCTTTCGTCCTGCCTTCGGACTCAAATTGAAACATTGGCTCTACTTGGGTCTTGATCTGCCAGCCTTCAGACAACAACCACACCATCTGCTCTCCTGGTACTCAGGCCTTCAGACTTGGACTGGAACTAAATGTCGGCTCTCCTGGGTCTCCAGCTTGCCAGTTCATCCCAAAGATCTTGGGGCATGCTTACCTCCATAATCATGTCTTTCCTCTAACCTTCTAGCTTGTTGCCCCACCATTCACAACACAAGGCTTCCATCCTATAGTGGAAGATGTACACCGCAATGTTCAACACCCCATCCCCTGTACAGTAGCAGGAAGGGAGAGGTTGAAAGGGATGTCAAATTCCTTGCCTTTGAAGGCTATGCTATAATTCAGATGCTGCATGCGTCTCATTGGCCAGAAGCCATGCAACATGGCAAGAAGCTAGTTGCAGGGGGGCCTGGGAAATGTAGTCATTAGTTGTACAGCCATGTGTCCAGTGAAACTTTCCTATCATAGGTGAATAATTATTAAGGGGACATCTAGGCATCTCTGCTACACAATTAAATGACTGAACCCAAGCAAGCAGAGGACAGAAACTAATGTGGTTATAGCTGAATGATGTGTAATGGGACTTGGAATAAGCAAACAGTAGAAAACTCATTTGGCTGATGTCTTATCTCTCAATATTCTCAAATTTCTACCAAATTACTGATTTTCCCAGAGTGAGAGTTATTAGTGTCATAAACCCAATATATCCATCTCCATCTGTAGAGTTGAACTTCCCGGACTCTCTGTGGTTCATTCAGGCCACATGACTAGATTGAGCCAACAAATTCTAAGAGGTTATGTATATCAATTTTGTGTCAGAGCATTTAAATATTGGTATAAGAGCTTTCAGGGTGTTCCTTCCTTGGCCACATTGATCTGCAGGATTCCAGACGGTGATGGCTTTATCAGCTTGGGTCTCAGATATATACAGACCAGAACACAAGTGAGGAAGAAACTTTGTTATGCTAAGCTGAGATTTGGGGGTTGTTTGTTACTACAGCTTAACCTAACCTATACTCACTACTGTAGAAAAATATGAAAGTTATATTTTTCCTAGAGCACAGAGTTAACCCTAATCAGTTGACCAAGCACCTACGTATAGTCCCCCTTCAACTGCTTGTAATTTCGGTGGGAATGACCTCCTACCTCTGCCACACAGAGGTAAACATTTCTGTTGAAATGACTCTCTATACCTTAATGGAGGCCTTAACTCAAAGCAAAGGGCTATCAGCTACCATCTATTGAGAATCTACGTGTGCTGGGGCCTCTTCGTAAACCATCCTATTTAATACTCACCAGAGAGGGGTTTGTATGGTATCTCCCCTTTACTAGTGAGGAGACAAAGGCAGAGAGAGGCTGGGGAGAGTACAGTTGGGGACACCTCCTACCCGCACACAATTCCCTGCCCCAGGGCACACGGGCTAAGGAAGGCAACCGTGAATCTGTCCACAGGTGTCTGCTCCAGGAGCTTGTGAGCAATGTGGTCCTGATCCCACCTTCCTCCCCCTCCCCACATCCTTCCACCCAGTTTATTCTCTAGTGACCCGTTTGATGGTGGGCTCTCTCCAGCTCCCACCAAACCACCACCACCAAGATCTCTGTGGAAACCATGTGTTTCTTTATTCAGGGCGTACATTAATGTTTGTCCTGGGGGAAGGTGATTCCAATGGCCTTCCTCACCTCGTCAAGGATGTCAGCCAGGAGCTCACTTTCTGCCAGAGGAATCACAGGACTTTCCTTCAGGCCTGAGGGAGAGTGCAGTTAGAGACCTCTCCTGCTCACATCCCCAAAACCAAAAGAACTATAATTCCCAGAATCCCACGAGGCACAGTAATACTGGTTCAGGCATATGGATGCCCTAGAGGGGTGCGGGGAGATGTAGTTTTAAACAGCTGCTTGATTGGCAGAGGGATGGGGAGGATACCCACCTCCCCTACCAGGCTTACCCTGCCACCCTGTCACTCTCCCACAGCTGTCCTCCACATCCTTACCCTTCTGTAGGCATTCCCGGACATGCTTGGCTTCATAAATCATGCCCATTCCATTCGTAAAATTGAACTCCTTGTCTGGGGCTGGGGGCAGTGGAAACTCCTTATGCTCCCCATTCACCACCAGCTCTGTCGGGCACCAGCAGGGGCTGAGGATCTGAGGAGAGATAACAGGTGGCCCTGCTGCCCTCACCAACAGGGCTGCTGGGGCTCCCCCTTGGGGATGCTCAGGACCTTCCCTCTCACACCTGGTGGCTAAGGGCTGATCTCCCTCCCTCCTCAGGGAGGTTTGGGCCCCCATCCTCACCCCCACCCCTGCTCTGGCTGCTGGGGGACTGTTTCTCAGCAGCACAGATGCCGCACCAGATGCCTATCTTGTTGTTTGTTTCCCCAGGAACAAATCCTTCTTTAACCCTATGCTCAGGCCTTGTGAAGATGGCTTAACGAATCCCCCTTTTTTTTTAAATTATAGTTCGACTGCACATACACATTATATTGCATGT